TCTTGGGGCAGCGGCAGCCAGTGTGTCCACAGATCAAGTGGCCGGTTTCAAACTGACACTGGAGACAACAACAGAGTTTTAAAGCGAGGTAAAACTTTAAGCAATTGATTTTTGTCCTTGATTTTAGGGTGGGGTTTTTTTCCTCCCCGCTTTTCACAGCCCTGAAGCTGGTGTGTTCCCCAGCCCGCTGGGTGCCGAGAGCAGGTCAGCAGCATCCCCCCAGCACCCTTTTGGGCAGAGGTCCGTTGGTCCCCCTCCCCTGACAAGCTCGGGCTGCTCTCCCCGGCTCTGTGGGCTCGTGGGGAGAGGACAACGCGCCTGGGTGAGGAGGAACACCGGAGCCCCACTCAGCATCGCTCCGGGGGCTTGGGCTTGTGGGCTACAGCCAACCCCTCCCTGAGCACCCCAGCACAGAGAGGAAGCGGGCGCCTGCACAGTCAGGGCTTTGTCCTGAGACACCCCCCCCCGAGCTGCTGCGTGAGGGAAGGGGATGGGGGACTGTCACGCCCCGGGGACAGCAGCTGTGGCACTTGCCCTCTCCCCCGAAGCTGCAGCACGGCCAAAACGAACACGTTTCTCTTCGTCTCTGACTAGGCGGCCTGCCCGGCCTCACCTTTCTCCATCAGCGTGCGAGGCTTCCGCCCCTGCCCTCAGACCCTCCTTCAGCCTCCTGCTGCCAGGCTGGCTGCCGAACTTTGCTTTTCCAGGGTGGCTGTCCCCTGCCCCCAGTACCAGTCCTGCCGGGGCCACGTTCGCCGCTTCACCCTGCTCCCCTCTGGGCTCAGCAGACAATCTCAGCACCAGCTACTGCCTGACTCTGCCAGGATGGTTGTTTTCCTGCTCTTTGCTTTCACTTCTGCCACGTTTTATGTCTTCTACCATTTTATTCCTCTTTATATCACATTATATGCAAGCTAGGAGTTTGGCTCTTTCTGGTTTATCTCCATGATTCCCCACACCGTGTTACTGAGCCGTGGGCTCTTGACTTTGCTGTGGCCAAAGATACCAATACTAATTGCCAATTAGTTGAAATTTCAGCTTCATACCTTAATGCTCTGCGTGGGCAGAGCTTCCCCTTGACATCATACCCAAAACTGCTTTCTTCAGACCTCTTTTAAGCAACACCAGTATCTGACGAGGATCAGGCAGATGGTAAGAGGCAGCCACCACCTCCCTTAATGGCTGGTGGCATTTCACTGCTTTTTGTGTGCTTCCTCACCCCCTTTGTATCATCTACCTTTGGCTTTTCAGAACACAATCACTCCCCTGACGGAGAAGGCGTAACGCAGCGGAGTGTTGCTGAGCCTCCTCTGCTTTAGCCGAGGCTGGTGACTGGGGACTGGAGGAATGTCCCGCGCAAGCCCAGGCCGGCAGCGGGGCCGAAGGGCTCTGCTGCAGGGAGGCAGGGGATGGCACAGCCCCAGCTCCTCGGCACAGACTGGGGAAAAAAATCTGCTACCCATGTGGCACATTTCAGCAGTTGTTCACTACCACGACACTACAGCTAATAACAGCGCTGCTTAACGACAGTAATTAGTATTAGTGACTTTCATTTTCACTCAGCAGATAAACTTACTTGGTACGAAGCCTGTGTAGTAAGGTATCAGTCCAGTGCTGGTGTAAATTCTGTTGTCAGGCCAGTACGTTTGGGGAAATCTCTTGCCAACGCTGCAGTCTGGGTTTCTCTGCAGCAACTGGAAAACAAAGAAGCAACCAATCCAGCGACACAGCACAGCTTATTTTAACCCACGTTGTTGTTTCCCAAGCCATGCGCTTTGACTCCATATTAGAATATTTAAGCCAATGGACAGCAGTTCTCTTCCCAGGTCTGCTTTCTCCCCATGAGGGGGTACAGTATATCGTTCCCCGCTTTCCACTGTATTCATTTCCCGCCCGAGGGGTGTTGGCAGCACCCCGTACCCCGGGCACACCGAGCAGCTCCCGGCCCAGGCGCGGGTGGCAGGAGCCCTACAGACCAGACTGCATTCGTCACCCTTGGGCGTCACCGCGAGTCCCGCAGCCCTGGTGCCAGCAGTACCTGCCGGAGCTGGGCCCGTGCCTCGCCTGTGCCCGCACCAAGGCTCTGCACAGCTGCGCTGCGGTTTGGCCCCTGCAGCTGGTTTTGTGTTTCCACCGACAGCGCTCAGCCAGTAACTCCCTGGCGGGGAGGAGCAGGAAGGCTTAGGGAGCGTCAGGGGAGAGCGTAAAGCATCTGGGGCTGTGCCTGCCCGCCACGGTCGGACCCAGGCAAGGGGCTGTGCTGGAGGACATTGCAGGGCTGCAGCGGCAAAACCCCAAAAGGTGTCACTAACGCTAGTCCCCCTCCTCGGTGCACTCCCTGTGCCCTGCTCAGCCGCACAGGACCGGGCTGATGGAGCCCAGCACGCTGCCAGGCCACTGAACCCTTTTGGGACAGGCGACGGGGTGACCGCTGCAACGCCTCCCGCGCAGCGCTGAACCGAGAGGATTGCATTATTGTGCCCGACGCAGACAGGGAGCAGTGATCCATGGCACACCCCAGTACGTAACCTGGGGCAACAGAGATTTAGGGCAGAAGATTAGAGGCTTGAAGTCAGAAGCCATCTTAGGAAGAAATGTGGTGTGATTTTTGCTTTTCTTCAGTGCCTGATGCGCTGCAGCTAACCTCCGCGAGCCCGGATCCTGTCGAATCCTGCGATGGAAAAATGCCTCCCTCGCTGATTTACTGTATGGCAGACGTTGCTTAAATAATCAGGGCAGAAGGGCTTTGCAAACAGCACATTTAGTGTTGATAATGCCTGGGGTTTTTTGTTGTGTTTGCTTCATTTCAATTCCTATTAACAGCAGAGGAACAGGAGAAGGAAGCCAGCACAGGGAAACCCATTTCAGCAGCAGCATCAGGCTGCCATGAGCACCGTCAGCTCTGCTGCTCTCCCCGCTGAGTCATTTCTTCCCAGCCGAGTTTCTCTGAGCTGGGGATCCTGGGTCCTGGATTTCCTCTGCATCAGACCCATACGCTCTGGGACGAAGGCACTGCCGTGAATTCCAGCCACCAGAAAGGGCTGGAAATGGTGGGACCCGCTTTCCCCGAGCTGATCGGCCCACACCAGCGGGGACCAGCGAGACAGCGGCATCCCAGGGACCTCGCTCCATCCTGGCAGTGGGAAGAAAGCTGCAGCGGTGGATGCAAACTGTTAACTGCTGTGGGAGGGATCTCGTCTTCCCCTGTAGGAGGATTATACGGCATTAATGGGGGGGGACCTTACAAGCAAGGGAACAAAATATTCTTTTCAGTAGGGATATTTCTGCATCCTTCCCAAAAGGAGGAGAAAGACGACCCAGATCCCTTCAAGACAAATTATGTTAGTAAAGGAAAAAGCCTTACAATGAATTAAAAGGGAGAAATATCCATCCGAGCAGCCCAGGAAGCCATCCAGGTAGAGAAGAGATACTGCGCAAAGGAAGCACAGATAGTTGCATCCTGCATTTCTGCACTCAGAGCAACATTTTTAATAGCCACCCTTGAACTAGCCCTCAACAGATTTGCTTAATCCTTTTATGAACTCATTTGTCCTCCCTTAATGTCCCAAGGAAACAAGTTGCAGAACGTAATTGCTCATGATTTTTTCAACACGTTACCTAATAGCATTTCCTTTTGCTTGTACTTACAACCCCAGTGCTGATACTACTGCAAAGGAGACCACTGTTGGTGTTGCAGATGAATCGATACCAACATTACAGTCTTGTAATTACAGGTTTGTGGATATAATCCACCTGATATCAGTCAAATTTGTTCATGGCTTCCTTCACGCTCTGGATGTAGCTCACGCCATTAACGCAGGCGAGGTGGGGATGAATCCAGCGTACCCTTTGGATGAAGACAAGAGAGAACATGCACGTCATAGAAAGCTCAACAGTATGGAAGTGGAAGAGGCTGGGATAAACGTAAAACCTTGGCAGAGTACAGCAAGGAAAAATTCATCCATTTAAATTGTAAAATTAAGTCTTACATGTGAAGTATCTTTTCTGAAAGAATGTCTTCTATGATTCCCAAGGAAAACTCCATGGGTTGAACAGATCTTTGCTGGTCTCCACGAGGTACGGAAGAAACATTTCATTTTTCTTACAGACTTTTCTTTAAGCCATCAGCTCTGTCATGTTCTTTCCCAGTTTAATACAGTTTCAGAGGCTAACAACTGGGTGTCCAACCTTTCTTTCTCATTTGTCCTGTCCATCTGACAAATTTTCACCAATTATAAGACAGAAAAATATGCGAAGTCTAAAAATACACAAAGCAAAGACAGGTACAGCCTAAAAGAAGCCAGATCTCCCTGTTTCTAAAGGGATGCTTTGGAGAAAGAGACATTTGTCTTCTGCATCCTAAAGCTTCAGTGCTCTTTCACTCCATCTGAAATGTCCGGACGTGCAGCCCCTGTATTTGCTGTGGTCCGCCGCAGAGCGAAGTGTCCCTCCCGCTGGCAGCGTACCCTTTGGGGTGAGTTCTGTGCATTGCCCTTTTCTAATCGTCCTGCTTGCAGAGGAATGCTCCTCAGCGCAAGTGGAGGAGGTACAGAGTAACTCCTTGTAAGCCAGAGTTCTCTGCGTTTATGATGGTGCACTATACCACTGTTTGACGATTGACAAAAGCGTCTTATTTCCAGGAGAGAAATAACGGCCTCAAAGGTAACAGATACTCCTCAGGCTGCTGGAGGTGGTGCAAAGCCCACGACCCATCTCTCCTCAGTTTCTGGAGCATTTTCTAGCCTGGCCCCATAGCTGTAGGGATCTGAGGTGGCTCCCGCATCCCTTCCGCCTGCCCATGGGCACGTGTCCCTCAGCGCGAGATCCCCGGGGCTGACAGCATCCTAGAGAAACCCCCTTGCCTGGAGAGGAGCAGGGGCATTTTCCATCCCAAAGCGTTCAAGCGAGCTGGAATGACTGGCCAATGTCTCTGAGCTTTCCCCGGGGAAGAGGGATGACACAGTTTCTTCCGAGGTGGACTTGTGCTGGACATGACCTCCCTCTCTTTTACCTGAAATGACTTTCTGTTGGATCACTGTGGCACATCCAGTTGTGGTAACTGATTATCTTGCTCCACACCCACAGTTTCAGCCACTCCTGGCAGTGTTACGCCTTCAAATTTCACAGGCTCGAAATAAAAGGAGAAATAAAGTAAACACCAGTAAAACTCACTTCTTCCTCTGGCTACATTGCTTAAATCACCGCCAGAACCTGTGACTGGCAGCTACCATTTCCATTTCTCCCCAGCTTTACACTAAGAGCTACTCCAGGAATTTCTGGTAAGGTCACATTACTAGATGAGCTCTCTGTACGCAGAGGTTTTGCAAAATCCTTGGGGAGAACACGGGGACCTTTGGGTGCTGAGCTGCTGCGTAAATCTGTTTCTCAGAGCAAGGAGCAGGAA